AAGGGATGGGCTCAGGCTCATAGCACCAGGAAGCTCCAGGAGGGTGGTGGGAAGGGCATGATCCTCCCTATAATCACAGGTTTCTGCCCTCAGTGAGGTCAGAGCTTCAGCTCTGGGGTGGGGGACATGGCTGGGGAGAAGGGCAGGGCTCTGCTCCAGGAGGGCATGGGCTGCTTACAGGGAGGACTGGTGATGTGAATTGGATCACACAGTGTTCACAATGGGAGCACAAACATAGCCCACACCCCACCTTTTTTTTACAACAGGGTGCCCCAGGGCAGGGAAAGGAGAGCAACAGGGAGTCCCAGGGACAGTGCAGCCCATGCATGTTTGGTCACATTGGCAGTTGGGGGTCACCAGGAGCCGTGCCCAGTCCAGAGGTCAGCACTGGGGCTCACCAGTGGGAGGAACAGCTTGGGCACCTGGAGCTGCTTGGGCTGGACAGAGGAGCTGGGAGTGGCCAGAGGGGAGGACATGAGGCTGCCATGGCCACGGGCTTGGACACAGCGTGTTCGGTGTCCTCCTGGGCGTTCAGCTCCTCACCCGTGAAGTGGAGACGGGGAAGAGGCATGATTGCTAAGGCCTTTCCCAGCTCTAATGTGTTGCATTCCCAGTAATAGAAGAGAATTCCAGCCAGGTACTTATTTCCACAGGCCAGCATCTTTGGGCTCCCTGGGGAGGGGAAGAAGCAGCTGTAGGACAGAGGGTCTGGCTGCCAACCCTGGGTTGAGCCTGGGGTGAGGTCCCCCAGGGGAGGGTGCCTGTGCCTGGGCTCTCACAATTTTGTTTGTTTTCTGGAGTCAGTTGCCTTGGGGGACAGCTGCAGAGAGAAGACTGACTGATCTCAGCAGGAGAATTTGACACAGGGAGTAGAAATTCTACCTGGTTAGCGCTAACTTTAATCTGAGCCAGTTATGTTTACACAGACCAGCAAACTTCCTTGTTGACTAAGAGAGCCTTTCAGGGTTTGGCTTCCAGGCCCTGGCTCTTAGTTTCCCACTTGATTTGCAGTTTCTCTATCCATTTCTCCCTTGCACCGCCTGGAAAATGAAGTGGTTCCACCTAAGAGGGTTTTCCAAATGACAGAAATCTGGAAAAATGAATTCTACAGTAAATATTCACTGTCATTTCCAACTATCTATAACACAGTATGAATATTCTACCTCAGGATGGCATGGGGAGTTTGGGTTAGATTTCAATGTTCTTGTACTAGGGAAAAAAGGAGTTTGGGCAAAGCTCTAGAAACTCCCGAAAGTCTGGATGAAGTGGGTGAGTCAGCAGATGAGCAGGTGTTCTGTGCTTCTGGAAAAGTAAACATTGCCATAGGAAACAAAAAGCCGACAGAGATGTCGTGTCTGCCGGATCTGGAGGCCAGACTCTAGGCCAAGGTGTCACGGGACCAGAGTCCCTCAGAAGGCACGAGGTTGGGGCGGTCTGCAGCCTGGGGCGTTCCTTGGCGCTGTAGCCCCTGGCCTCACGCCAGGGCCTCCCCTGTGTCTTCCCGTCCTCTTCTCTTTGCTGCCCTGCATCCACATTTCCCCTCTTGACAAGGACACCAGCCCTGCTGGATCAGGGCCACATAGTGATGGCGTCTTCCCCTGGTTCAAGGACTGTAATGACCCTCTTTCCAAACAAGGTCACATCCTGAGGTGTTGGGGTCGGGCTTCCACTTATCCTGGGGTGGGGAGCACAGGTTTGCCCATAACGCACGGGGTAAAGACCAGGCAGTTCCCTGGAGAGACGGTTCCATGCAGGACTGGGAAAGGAAGCTCTCCCCGACTTGCCTTTGCTCTGACCTTGAGGGGAGCCAGGGTGCTCAGACAGCAGACAAGTCGTTTTGTTCTTGATGGTTTTAAATGACCAACTGTACAATGGCAAATTTCTGTATGTGGATCTTAGGAAACACAACAATTTCATTTACGAGAAACCTTCCAATGGGGCTTTTCTGTGTGCCCAGATTTCTTAAAGGACTCGTTGCTAATCCTATAATGTGAAATAAAGTGCAGACTCTCCCTCCTTTCGGATGTGAAACTTTGAAATGATCTTTCCATGACTTGTTGGCATGTTGACCTTTTTCCAGATGGCTTGGCCAGCTAGTGGGGGTCCGAGGGAGACGTGGATAGTGAGGTGTGGTGGGGCGGGAGAAGGCAAGTCCCAGAGCTGGCCGGGCAGGCCGCTCCTGTGGAGGCCTACGGATTCCAGCAGCGTGTGTGAGCACAGGCTCGCACCCCTCCCCAGGGCTGGCCGCGGGAACGAGGACTCAGGAGGCGGCTCGTGAGGGGCACAGCTGCCCTCCTCAGCCCGCGATCCTGCTCCGAGCTCAGCCCTGCACCTGCCCTGCCCTCCTTGGGTCTTTGTAACTGAGGTGATTGACAGGAAGCTAGGGGACAGGGTGAAGCTGTGGGCCCCGAGCGGGAGAGAACGAGGACGGGTACGAAGGCGGGCGGAAGGCCAACGAGGCACAAGGTGAAGGACAGCCGCAGACCTCCCGGGTGCAAAGCACACAGCACTGTGCCTGGAACAGGCGGGTGCTAAGGGTGTCGCGTGGGGCGGCGGCCGCGGGCTCTCATGACATTCAGAGCCAGCAGCCGGTGTCACCCCGGGTTGGATCCCGACAGCCCCGCCGGCCTCGGCTGGTGGAGGCTGGAGGCAGGAGGTGTGGATGGCCCAGTGCAGGCCAGCCCCACGCCTGGGAAAACTCGTCCACGGCGCCACGGCCCTCGCTGACATTGTGCACAGGGTGACAGGACGACCCAGGGCAGTCAGGACCTCGTTGGGGGTGGCGGTAAGAACAGCCAACCGTGTCTCACTGGTGAAAAGCCTGCACGAAAATGTGACCGCTTCACGTCGAAGCTCCACCAATGAGAGATCCTAACCACCCGATTTAGGTTCTCGTTCGCCGACTGGAGCTCACAGGGGAAGGGCCGCAGCTGTGCTGGTGGATGGTCGGGGCGCAGCGCCCAGGAGCAGTGCCATGGCGGCTGACGGACGCCGGAGCCAATGGATCCACCTATTCAACACTCTTCCGACAAGTGTTCACAGGTGACAGCCAGACCCGAGGCGCTGGGCAGGGCGGCTCACAGCGGGGGAGGACGAGGGCAGCAGTCACGGCTCAGGTGGTCATGCGGACAGGGCCCTGCGGCCTGGGGAGCTTCGGGGAGATGAATGTGAGGGATGCTGGCTGGGGTCTGAGCAGCACAGCTGTGACGGGGAAGTGACTTCAGTGGACCGAGCTGCGTGTCTTCCTCGTCTTCTGAACCTGAGAACGTGCATCCCGAGGAACAACAAAACTGTAGAGCACTAGTCAAACAGGTGCCAAAACACCAAAATCCAGCATCCAAGGAACGGAAAGAGTAATGAAACCCACGTGTCGTGAGAAGCCACGGTTTTGTCTTCAAAATCACATCTGGGCTGGCCATGCCCCCGTGGCCCTGCCCCCGACACCCCCGTGCTCCCCAGCCCACCTGGCCTCAGCACTCGGCAGCTTCTATAAATGCCTGGGTGAGAAACTCCTCGGGTGTCAATCTTACAAAGAAAATCCACAGAGCACCCACCAAGTTCGGGTGTCAGGATTGGATAGATTTCATCCATCTGTCTCTGCCTATTTTGGCCGCATTCGGGGATCAATAAGAAAACCCTCCTGCGTTGGGGCGCCTGGGTGGCTCAGTCGTTGAGCGTCTGCCTTTGGCTCAGGTCATGATCCCAGGGTCCTGGGATTGAGCCTCACATCAGGCTCCCTGCTCAGCGGAGAGCCTGCTTCTCCCTCTCCCTCTGCCTGCCGCCCTGCCTACTTACGATCTTTCTCTCGGTCAAATAAATGAATAAAATCTTAAAAAAATAAATAAATAAATCCCTCGTGTGGCTAATTTATTGCTTATCATCAGCCCACCTCCTGTTCAAAAGCAGGCCTGATGGGAGATTAGTGGCGAGTGGGCCAGAACCTTATTGCATAGTATGTACTGAAGCAGAATTTTAATATCTTTATTAATCTTTTACAATATAATGCTTTTCGGAGATCCCAACTTTGCCAGCTACATTATTACAGAGAAAGCGGAAACTCAGAGAGTTGTTAGCAAAAGGTCTGTTTTAACACATGAAATAGAAAGGTTTATTTATTTTTAAAAATTATTTTATCTTAGAGAGCGGGGGAGAGAGAATCTCAAGCAGGCTCCACGCTCAATGCAGAGCCCGACATGGGGCTCGATCCCACGACCCTGAGACCCTGACCCGAGCTTCCCAGGCGTCCCAGGCAAGGCAGGTCTAGATTCCCGTTGGCTCCCTTCCCTCACTGTTGTACCAGCGTGAAGGGATTGCCTGTAGCAAGGGTGGGACGGCGCCAGGGCACTGAGTGACGAGCATCCTGGGTCAGTCTTTGACCTCCAGAAACTCTTCGGCTGAGGCTGGAGGGGACTCAAAACCAGCCGAGTCCCTGCGCTCAGACTCGCCCGTGCAGCTGACCAAGGGGGCAAGAAGGAATCTGTGAACAGCGAGCCTCGCCCATAACCAAACGGGATGGCGGATTCCTTGCCCGCCGACCCACCAGCGGTCCCGGAAGCGCCGCGCTCCCAGACTGTCAAACCTGGACTTGGACGGTTTGGTGTGGGTGTTGCTGTGCTGGAGACACGTGGACCCCCCTTGGGCGGGATTTCGAGTCTCTGTGGTGAGGGAAATGTCTGCTGGTGGTCACTTTTCCTGGGCTCTATTTGCAGGCAGACCCCTATCTCGGATGGGGAGAAGCGGCCCTTCACCCCCAGACGGAGCACAGCTCTCCTGGGCCAGGGCGGAGCCAGGCCCGGGCAGATGCCCCCCCTGCCAGAGTTGGGGGGTGCAATGTCTGCTGCCAGTCACCTCCCACCCACTACTCGAGTGCTTCCCCAGGAGTACTTACATAAACATTTAGTCAAGTTTGAAGAGCTGTAAGGTATTTTCCCATTCCAAATTCTAACATCCCACACAAAGCCCCCTCCACCGCTTTAAAGAAAATCTCATAAACACAATAACTGGTTTTGAACCTTTAATAAAAGTAAAAAATGAATGCAAAAAGAACACAGTGCTGAAAACTTAGTATGAATGTGAATCTCACTAGATGTTTGTATCCGGTATAGTGCAAATTTTGTTCATAATATCTTACATTTTTACAAACGCAAATCACTTTGGTTCATATACTTGCTATAAAGTATTGGCAAAAAAATTCTTCAGATTCACATTTTTTGGCTACATTATTTCTAACAGATATAGTTTTACTTCCAGTTTCAGAGAAAAAAATACTTACTGTTTGTACATGATCAAGTATATTTTAAAGATTCAATTACTTCTTTCACCTAATAACTTCTGGTTTTTCACAAAATGCTGACCTCTTCCTTGAAAAATCTTTTCACGCAGCTGATCATCCATCTTCACTTTCAGAAAACACGTAAGGGGTCAGTGTGAAGTTCAGAATGATCCCATTTTCTTTTACGCAAAATTCCTCTAAAACAGATCAGCTACACAGTCACCTACAATTTACTCCAAGGTATTTTTCTCAGAACAAAACCAAATAACCGCAACGAGATCACTGCGCGAGCGGAACCGAGGGCGCATGTCTGTAGCCGCAGCCACCAGGCCCTCCGACCCCCGTCCTGCCCGTCGCCCGTTTCTAGTCAAAAGGAGTCTCGTAATGAAGTCACTTTCACAGAATTTAAAACAAAAACATTTAAATTGCAAAGTACAAAAAGGTAAATTTGTAAGTAAAAATGACAAGTCTACTAAACCCACACAACTGGAGTATTTCAAAGGACCAGGGCTCAGTGGAGGGCACAACAGAGTAACTTCATAACTGAAAGAAATTATTGCTGAATTCTGCCTCCATGCAGCACTGAAATGAATGGAGAACCCTCTTTAACCTCTCACACGTTAAAAAAAAATAAATATTTAAGAGAATACAAGGCTCAGATTGGTTTTCATATACATTGCACTTGACGTTTGAGACCCAATCCTTGCAAAGTGGGTCTAGGATGGTCTATGCCATTCAGTGAATACATTGTGCTCACCAATATCTTTGAGTATTTAGAGACACCCAATGTTCCATGTGGCGGCGTGTGCACGCGTCGTTTACAAGGCAATCACAGATTGCAGATTCCATAGGGCTGTGGGAGAATCGCCACGTCTGTTCTGGAGGATGGAGGAAACCACACAGGACTCTGGCTCACCAGGACTGAGATACACGGCAGACGGGACTCCCTCAGAGGACCATGGATTTTGGATGAAACTTCTCAAGTATCGAGGTGGGAATTCCAGAACGTCACAGTGTGGCCTGCGGCCCTCACTGCCCTCTGTGCTCGGGAAGATTGTCTGCACAAAACTCCGCGGGAGGAAGGAGAGCACGGCTGTGCACTGTGGTACACACGTGTTGCACGTGAGCGTGAAGCGTCTCAGCACCGCGGCCGCACGCGAGCGGCCTCCCTGCGCTCACCGCCACTCCTCTTTTTACACAACCCTATTTTTAAAAAATCTTTTGGATAAATATTATTCCTATTTTTCCACACTTCACCTTTGTTAAGCACCATCAAGCTATCCCCCGTGGGCACCGACACAAAACCAACAGCTGGTAATCAGGCTTTAGTTCAAGGCTGTGAAATACGGCAACTTGCTTTTAATAACGTAAATGAGATCGAATACTCGGGAAGCCGTGCCCGCCGGCACTCCCGCGCCCGCCTGGGGTCGCGTCTCCAGAGCGGAGGACACGGGCATGGACGCGGCAAGCAAGGTACCATTTCGAGAGAAGCAGTTCTTCCCCACTCGCTATTCTAAGACAGGTGAGTTATTTTTCCGGGAGTCACTGGTATAGTCAGCCCAATCTAAATGGATCACTGAGAAAAAAGATAATCTTTGTCACAATCCAACGTCACAGACTTTCTTCCCAAATCTTGGCTCTTCTCTGGTGGGTTAGAAGACTCAGTCGCTATGTGGCTTTTCAGGAACCCCCTACACGGGAAGAGAGCGAGAACATTAGCCCCACACGTGCGTGCAGAGAAACTCCTCTGACAGAGGGGACGGTGGGGACAGGAAGTTTGGGAGCCCCGGGCACAGAAGACAGCCCCCCGCCCGTGACGACCTCACTGCCCTCGGCTGGGAGCCACGAAGCTGCTGCGCGAGTGCAGACAGGGCTAAACCCGCCCCTGAAGGGAGGGCGCAGGGGTGCGGGTGGTGGCATGGGGAGGCTCGCGCACTGCGGTCTAGAAAGCACGCTCTTCTGGGCACCATCAGTCTGCTCCTAAGGACCTTTACGACAGCGGGCAGTCTGCTGAGACACGCCTGGCTCGGGACGCAGAGGGACGCCTGTGCCCGTGCTTCCTGGTCTGAGCCTCACGACAACGCCTGTAGGTGCCCGCGTGCCCCCGCTCTCGGGTGCTCCCCGCTCTCGGGTGCTCCCCGCTCTCGGGTGCTGCGTGGCAATTCCCAGCGCAGGGCTGAGGTCTCACTGGGGGAGGAGCAGCTCCAACGACCAAGGGCCTCTGTTGAGGTCACAAGGCCACTGAAGGGCACGGGAGGACCTCCGGCGAATGTTTTCTTCCCCGAACCCATGTGGCCCACTGGCCTCCCCCACCTAGGCACCCGTCCTGTAGGACTTCGGATGAACGCCACCAGTCAGCGACAGAAGCCCAAGACTGTCCTGTGTCTGATGTGGGGGAAGCGCAGTGAGGGGGCCGCCAGGAGTTTTCGGGCGCTAATTCCTACCCAGGGAAACACAGACGTAAGATCTGGTCATCTGAAAGCACGATGAGCTGCTGGCTACAAACATGGGAAAGGTCCTAAACAAAGGTCGCCTAGAGAAACCCGGGGGCAGATCCACTGCACGTGGGATGCAGAGAAGGTGGGTTTGCCACCCCCGGTGCCTGGGAGACTACGGCCAGGTCTGGTGTGAGCGCAGGGACACAAGTGACCACCGACAAGAGCGATCGCTCAGCCTGGGTCGGACGGGACACCGGGCGCGCTGCCTGACAGCAGCATGTCCCGGGGCAGGAGGGGACCCCCGGGACGCCAGGGCACCACACAGACGCCAGCACGGTCCCCAGGAAGGGCCGCCGGCCGCCGCATGCCAGCAGGGCGGGCGTCACACCCGGGCGCGCTGGCCTCGCGTTCCCTCCCTCCGCACGCGCTCGGGTGAGCGGCTGACCTTCCTGGCCACTCTCCCCACCGTCTTCACATCAGGAGACAGCAGGTCCTGCTTCAAACTGCTGCCGCGAAGACTGGACGAGCCGACGCAGCCCTCAGAAAGGACACCGGCCTTGCTACAGTCCTCGGCGGCCGAGGGGTGGCCCTCACCCATGGGAAAGAGTCAGTTCTCCGCTGCCAGGAATCCTGCAGCCTGGGCCACCGGAAGCAGAGCCACACGTCCCCTGCCCTGGGGCAGCTTGACGCCTTAACGTTTTAAAAGACTCGAAGCTCTTCCATACAATCATGCTACAGGCTCATCATTTTCTCTTAAACATCGGGCAGGCAAACAACTACCACATGGAGGAAGTTACCTGAACCACTGAACGGAGCCCGCGTGCAGCTTTGGGACGTGGCTTCCCTGCTCCCTCATCCACACCCTCCACAGGCTCCAAGTTCCTACACAATACGTGCGTTTCTGATTATAAAAGTAATGCTTTTACTGTAACTTTTTTAATGAGGACTGGAAAAATCTAATGAGCTCTAAAAACCATGCACAGTTTTACTTCCCAAAAGTAGCTGCTTCTAACCCGTTCCAGAGCCCATCTCCCACCCCCCACTCACGAGGCCGGTCTCCTCACCAGAGACGCGAGTGCTGCCCGCCAAGTCAGACAGACCCGTGCTACAGAATGGGGATTAAACCTGGCTCCGCACTCTCAGGCGGCCCTAACTCCCCGAAGCTGCCGGAAGCCGCGCTCCACCACGGAGCTTCCCCCAGCACGAACACAGCTGCCCGCACAACTGAGGACGGTCTCACTCACGCTCACCTGTCCCGAGCTCTCCACCCAGAGAATGGGGGCCTTGCCGTCTCCCTCCCCTGGAGCGGCCACTCGCCGTCAGCAGCTCCCGTTCCAGGCGACAGGATGGCCGGCAGTGCCCCTGGTCCAGGGGAAGGAAGCCCCCACTTCCGACCCTGCTAACTCTCCCTGCAGCTGGGGCCCAGGGGGAGGGAGCTGCATGCTCATGGATGGAAACAATGGCACGTGGGGTGGGTGCAGAGACTTGAGAAGTCCACTCATTCTCATGACCTGGGAGGGAAGGTGATTATCGTGCCCCTCATTTCAAGGTACGGTAAGAACATCCTTATACAAGTCCCCCCGCTCTTAAAGACTAAAAGGGAAGAGCAAGCACTGGTGGATGGACAGTGGACGGATGGTGGACAGATGGTGGACCTGCCCAGTTCTACTCGGAAAACCAGTCAGTGGGCTGGGCAGGAGGGAGTCAGCGCACGCGTGTCCCGTGCAAGTCAATATAAGCGAGCCAAGTCCTCTGACCCTCATTGGAGCTGCGAGAAACTGTATTTTCATCAAGTTCCCTTCTGGGCTCTGGCTCCTTGGAACTGAAAGGGGTGGAGGGAGGGACGAGGAACTCCGGAACCAGTGGGACAGTGCTACACATTCCATCTTTCAGAACTTAGTTCTATCTCTGTGAACCAGCCACGCAGCCTTCAAATTCAACTCCCACAAGTATCAGCAGGCACAAATAGACGTCCTGTTCTATAAACAGCCTGAGGGACCAAGACAAGTTTTCTGAGAACGCCACAGGGTTGATCTCTGAGGGCAGTGGCCCTCGTAAGACCCCGCAGTTCTCTTCAGTTCGTTTCATTGAAGCCCTAGAGTCAAAGTCAACTCGAAAGAACAGTTAATGTCCACACTTAATTTTCTCTTACTAAACTGTTGAAATGTGAATGTTTACTACTGAAGAGAACTGCCAAAATGATCCCGGACTTCCTTTGCCCTTCCGGCTCTCAGAAATGGCTCCACGCCCTGGGAGTCCGTCTTCCCCGCGACGCCAAGCCAGGCCCGCCAGGCCCACCGATCCCAGGAAGGACAGGGCTTGCCTATCCAGGCCCAGACCTGGGCGCAGGGTCTCCGTGGCGTCTGCTGCCCTGGCATCACCTGCCCCTGCGTGAGGGCAGGGGCCTCGTTATCAACCATTAGCCCTTTCAGTGACCACACGCTGCCAGTTACTAGAGTAGTTGAGAGCTCAGAAAAGCCACCGAACGCATCCATTACATGCAGGGCTGCCCACAACTCTGCTTGCTTTCCCGCTCATCATGCGTTTACAAATCCCCTGAATCTTTATAATTTAGCAAAGAGCTGCATTGGTATTGCTACTTATTCTTTTAAACGTACGCTCTTCTCAGTAGTCGTTCCTGACTCTCAACTAGACATTGACCAGCACACGTTACAGTGACTCGTGTAAAGCCAGCCTAGGAGGCCAGCACCTGCCGTGCCAGGGGCAGACCGCGTCACCACGTACCATAGCCAGCTGCCGGCCTATGTTGCCCACGGTGACACCTCCCGAGAAGAAGATACACGGCAGCCAGGAGCGGATGTAGAGAAAATCCGGGGATGTGTACCTGCCGAGAGAGCAGAGGGACTTGTGCCCGAGCCGTCAGCTTCCCTGGGCTCGGATGGCCTCCGGGCTAAGACCCCCTTCAGCGGGGAGACACAGGTCACCCGGTTACCGCAACGGGCCGCGGGCCGGTCACGTCTGCATGCTGCGCCCCGAGATCAAGTTACAGACGCTACGCTGTTAACGTGCAAATCGATAATAAGCAGCATTTTTGAGACTTTCCTGCCCAAACCGGCCTCATGTACATATAAATAAAACATGACATCCAGCTGAGTGGGTGTTTTTAACAAAAGTGAAGTTACAGCTTCTGGACACAGTCGCTATTTGAGAGCACATACTTACTGATAGACACCATTGTACACCAGCAGCTGAGTGATCAGAGTGGCCAGGAAGGCGATGGTGATCCCAAGCCCAAGGCCACTTCTCGAACGGTCAAATGTCCACCAAAGGCCCAAAGACAGGGCTGCTAATGTCAAGGAGAGCTGGACATTATTGGCAAAATCCAATTTCTGGCGATGCAAGGTTAAGGAAAAGTTCAGTGATTTTTAAGATGATTAAAATAAGCCAAAGGAAAAAACCCAACCAACCAAGCAAACCACGACACCCCAGATCCTACACGTATGTTTTCATTATTATCCACCACGTAACTCTCCATCCAAAAAACCTGCCCAGGCTGCCGCAGAAAGGCTTTGCTGGGTACGAGGTTGCCATGATCAGGACGCCTCTGGATCACACGCTTGGATACTTCATCTACAAGGAGACATTCTCAAAGCTGTAGCTGCTAGCATTTAGACCACAAAACAACGTATTTTGCTAAGTCCTCTATAGTCCCAGTCCCATTTTTTGTTTTGATTAGTAACCTGAACTGAGCAAATACACTCCTCTCCCCATGTCTCCTTGGACACGTCATCAGGTGTCATTCTACGTTACACACTTCCACAGTCTGTGGAGACACAGCTGCTTTTCATCACAACACTACTGATCAGCTGGTGAAAAAAACCAATGTTGTCAGAGCTAAGGTATCTTTATAATATCCTCTCTTGACGCTCGAATCATTAAAATACAGGTAGAGCAGATTTAAGAAACAGTAACTCTAAAAATACCTTCCCCTAAGATTCTGAAATAGACTCTAGTTGTGCTAAAGAAACCCAAAGTCTTGAGACCTGGGAAACTATGGCCTGTCCTTCCTGACAAACACACTAACGTACACACACGTAACACAGTCTGTGCGATGCATTTCACCCGAGGACTCGGGAAGTCTAGGGACCTTCCGTTAAGAATCCTCCTGCAGAGGACACCACCTTTGCCTGGCCCTGAAACTTGGTGGTCAGAGCCAGGGAGGCGGCAGAGAAGCAGAGACTGGTTTCTCTTCAACCTCTAGAAGCGGCCCAAGAACAGGGACCCCCAGCCACTTCTCCCCGGGCCAGACACCAGGTCTTCACAACAGAAGGATGTAAGGTGGGCATGTGAGAGGGAATTTTCAAAACCCACTCCAAGGGACCAGAAGATACTACCACGCAACCGAGAAAGTCCTCTCTGCTTCTGGTATTATTTTAAGTTTCCCGAACCACTTCGAAAACACTTGCTAAGTAGAAACCAAGCAACGTGCTTTAAAGTAAGAGCTGGAAGAAGACCGTTCAGCGAACCTGTGAGATGACATATGCTCCCTGAAGGGAACAAACGTTTCAGCATGTGAGCTGAGGAAACGCAGCTCATCCGTGGAAGGATACAGCACTGGCGTGGTTGATGCCGACAAACACAGCCACGCAGCGCATCACGCTGGCCCACTCCCGCTTAAACTTGTGCGGCTCCCCGAGGTGACTGTCGATGCAGGGGTACAGCAAGCCCACAACAGCTAGTAAAAACCGACAACATAGTATTAGAACATGCCAGCTTTCAAGGATATGATTTCCACGTGGCAATTACTAACATGTTATTCCAATCAGTTCTTCTCCTAGAAAAATGCATGTCCTATGATACAGCATTTCAATTTAGACTAATTTTATATTTTTGTTTTCCTTGAGTACAAACAAAAGGCTCACGTTGTTTTGAGAAATTTAAAATAGCATTGCTGTTCTTCAGTTTCATTAGGCACGGACTTGAATCAGGCAGGGGGCGTTAATTATCCATATAATGCTATGACAAGTCAGCCATGCTGAGCGTCCCCCGAGTCCAGGTCCTGACCTGTGGGAACAGCTTGGGACCAGGCTCAGAAAACCAGGCCCCCGTTCCCTGCAGGCTCCGATGGGGCCTGGATCCTCATGTTTGTTCCCTCATGTGTAAAATGACGAGGGTTATGTAACGAGAAGGCGGAGTAGGAAGAGCTTACTGTGGTCTGGAAGAGTTAGGGAATTTTCACAGGCACAGAATCTTAAAGCATGAGGACAAAGAGAATTTAGACAGGGGGAGGGTGTGGCATTCCAGGACAGAAGTAAAATGGACAAAGTGAAGGCAGGAACAGGGCGCTTGGTGGCTGGTGGGGATCCAGGCCCCTGGGACCAACTGTGGGACGCAAGGCTCAGCACCTAAAGTCACCCAAGTGCGGAGGCTTGAAAGCCATGGGGCAGTTCCACCTGGTGTCCATGAAAGAGGTAACTATTTCAGGTTCCTGAACAGAGAAACAAGAGACACAATTCTGGCAAAACATTCAATGCGAGAGTTTCAGTTTCAATTTCGTATTACATTTTATCAAGTTCTAATTTTAGAGTTTTGAAAATTGGAACCCAGACAATTCTAGAACTTATTTTCCTGTAACTTAATCTTACCTTTTAAGGTTAAAGGCTAGAGGTACAAATGTACTGTGGGATTTTGCCCTCTGCCTACCTGATAATTTTTTTTTAAAAAAAGGAGGTATGAGAAACTATGTTTCAGATAGTCCTAGAATCCCTTGAAGCTTCAATTGCAAATAAAGCCTAACCTAAAATATTTCATTTTTAAGATCAGATTTTTGATTCAAAGAAAGAACTGCTGTACCATATGGACATGAAACATGGGATCTGCATCTAGGTAAGTTTCCCAAAAAGGATTTTTAATAGGATAACCATGCGCTTAAAGGGTTTAGGGAGGCCAAGTAGTACCCTATCTTCCTAAGAACAGAGATGAAAGCAGCCTACCCACCAAGTAACTACAGTATCCCCCCAGTGATGTGTCCTGGCTAGGAGGCCCCACTCTGAGCCCTGTGCCATCCAGCTGTGCTCAGTGGGTCTGCTGCCAGTGGGATGTGTCTCCACGCAGGGGACACACCCAGACGCCAGGGAGGCAGTGTGCAGCGTGATGCACAGCAGCCCTGCCATTTACTGTGTCCCCTTAGACAGGAATGCTTAAGATCTCTGTGACTTAGTTTCCACATCTGTGAAATGGAGCCACAGCAGAGTGCTGTTGTAAGGAGTGAACAAAGCAAAGCACATCAAACACAAAGCGAGCAGTCCATAAACGCTGGCTACACAGCCAACAGCAGGGCACACCTGCCCAGACCAGGTCCCACTTGGAGAGACCTGTGTTCTGCCCAGCAGAGCGTGGCATGCTGAGGGCAGGGGCCGGAACGCCCCCTCTGCACTCCCACAGCTGGTGCAGTGGAGGCCGCAGCAAACACCTGACAGCGTGCTCATCAATGAACGCTGCTCGACCTCAGAAGCGCTCAGTGGTCATCCCAGCTGAGACCAAACATGCATTGTCATAAAAGCAGCCAGGGAGCAGAACAAGTCCAAGAAGTCAGCGCGCCCGTCCACAGGGACTCCGGCCAGCGGCACCCCGCGGCACCCGGGTGGCGGACTGGCCTGGCCGTCCCCTCCGCGCGCCGCCCCCGCCCTGCCGGCCCATGTGACGGTTTGTTTTCGGTGGCCGGCGGGTAGCGTGTTCGAGCGTCCGGCCAATGGCAGCGAGGCCGCGCCGCTCACCAGTTCTCGGGCCACCAATCCCGGGCCCGCTCGGCCAGGGGACCGCGGCGGGCTATACGCGCGGCCCCCGGGCCAGGTCGGCGGGAGACCGGCCCGGCGCCCCCGCGGCCCCCCGTGCCCGCCACCGCTCCGAGCGGCCCCCTCGTTGCACTCACCGGCCGCCGTCCCGCAGCACGGGGGGACCCACCAGGCCGACGAGAAGATGGTGGCGATGACCTCCTCGGGGAACAGGGTGACGTTCCGCTGCACCTGCAGCAGGTTGAGCACCAGGGCCAGCACGACCCCCACCGAGAACAGCACCAGGCTTCGCTGCACCAGGTGGTGGTGCCAGCTGCCGGGGGGGCCGCCGCTGGC